CTGGGAAGTGGAAGGCTGAGTCAGAGAGACACTGCCAGCTGCCACAATGAGAAACAGCATGTGAAGATGCCGGAAAGCCACGAGCCACGTGACAAGGTATAGATTTATAGAAATGGATTAATTTAAGCTGTAAGAACAGTTAGCAAGAAGCCTGCCACGGCCATACAGTTTGTAACCAATATAAGTCTCTGTGTTTACTTGGTCGGGTCTGAGTGGCTGTGGGACTGGCAGGTGAGAGAGATTTGTCCTGTGGGCCAGGCAGGAAAACTCTAGCTACACTGTTGCCTTGACTGGCTGGATATAGATATTCATGAGCCAAATTAACCAATCCTTTAAAGCTATTGTGAGGGTATTTTATCACAAAGAGAAAAAGAAAGTCTATATTCCTAAATATGTGCTCAAAATAGTGTATACATCTTTTAGCAGTGTTCTTTAGTAACTTATGCCAGATCAGTTAGTGGTAGTTTTTAAGTAAGTCTTCTGTTATTTTGTACTTAATCACATCAATTATAAGACATCTGTATTTACTTCACCTTTGCAGCTAGTTTTTGCTTTATATTCTGAAGACAAATAGGTGCACTAATGAAATGCCCTTTAATCCATTGATCTTCATCATTATTCATAGCTTTCAAATACACTTCAGAAGCTAACTCATTTTTTCCTTCAGATTTTTTCTCTTCCCTCTTACTTGAAACTGTTTCAATTCAGTTTAAGCAGAGGCACACTGCTGTGGGATGTTCTGTATGGCAAATGTGTTGCTAATTAGTCAATAAATAAAACACTGATTGGCCATTGGCTAGGCAGGAAGTGTAGGCGGGACAAGAATAAAGCTGGGAAGTGGAAGGCTGAGTCAGAGAGACACTGCCAGCCGCCACAATGACAAACAGCATGTGAAGATGCCGGTAAGCCATGAGCCATGTGGCAAGGTATAGATTAATGGAAATGGATTAATTTAAGCTGTAAGAACACTTAGCAAGAAGCCTGCCACGGCCATACAGTTTGTAACCAATATAAGTCTCTGTGTTTACTTGGTCAGGTCTGAGTGGCTGTGGGACTGGCAGGTGAGAGAGATTTATCCTGACTGTGGGCCAGGCAGGAAAACTCCAGCTACAGCACACCTTTTCACTAATTGGGGTGTTTGAATCATCACTAACCATACTGTTTGGCTTTACTTGGAATACTCTCTGTTGTGCTTCTTTTCAGAGTATGCAGGATTACCTTTCTCTTCCACAGGCTCATTACCTTTTGGTTCCATTTAAAGGCCACTTTGGGGCTCAGTGTGTAAATTAGCTTACCTTCAAGATGAGGCAGATCACTGCACCCATACAGCCATCTTTCACGAGGACATGTCAGCTTCTCCCTTCCTCAATGGCATGTTACTTGAATACTTACTAGCACACACAAGACCCTCCACCTATTATGCTTGCTAAACATTAATTCATACAGATGTCCTATGCCATTAAAACTCAATGACAAAAGGGTGCTTCAGTCTTTGGTCAGAGACCTAGTAGTGAATTCTTTTAGCTCTTTAATAGTAGGTTAGTACCACATCTGTACTTCTGTATTTTATGTTACACACTTGGCTTGCCTTGCATCCGTGAAGTCAGCTGTTATCCTCTGTACTGTCCTTCATAAAGGCCATATTTCTCTATTGCTGGCTTTAAGCAGTTTAATTATGAATGGCTTCACTGCACTTTATTCTTCCAGCAACAGAAACATCTGAAGACTGCTCTGGTACCTGCGTGTACATTAGTGGCATTGGGCGTTATCTATTACCATTTGCCTAGGAGCTCGGGAGCACTTACTCCAGTTACCTTTCGTTCTGTTAAACTGACATATAGCAATTACTGCAAGCAGCAGGATCCAAACTCCTGACACTACACTTAACAAGGCTTCTTTGTAGCTGTCTCCTCACTACCTCTACTACTATAGGTCCCACTGGCACCACTCAATAGTTCTTCCATCTACTTTCCTTTCCATTGGAAAAGGGAGGCTGATCAGTGGACACATAAGCCAATCTGAAAGAATTCTCAACGATCAAATAAAAAAACCATCTAGGCAGCAAAATAAGTGACAAGTGTAGGCATGTGATATGAACAAATGGAAAGACAAGTCTTTCTTAGGAAGATTCCACATTCTGGAATACTACTTTCAAAAAGAGGTAGATTTTGCATTTCTCATTCCTTTCCTGGTGAAGAACCCTTAACATTACTTAAGAAGAATGTTAAGGGAAAGGATCAAAATGCCCTAACTAAATGCTGAGGTTAACATCTCCAGGGAATGTAAGCTTCATAGATCAGAAGGGAGTTCCTCCCCTGTGGTGTTCTTTCAAACCTACAGCCATAGTCAACAGAGAGAAATAAAAGTATAACCTAGTAGGGTAGGAAACAGCTGTATGTGGTGGTTTGAATGAAAATGGCCCCCATAGACTTACAGGGAGTGGCATTATTGGAGGAATTATGTCACAGGGAGTGGGCTTTGAGGTTTCAGATGCTCAAGCCAGGTTCAGTGTCTCTTCCCGCTGTCTGAAGATCCAGATGTAGAATTCTTGGTTTCTTCTCCAGCACCATATCTGCCTGTGCACTGCCATGCTTCCCACCATGATGACAATGGCTTAAACCTCTGAACCATAAGCTAGCCCCAATTAAATGTTTTCCTTTATAAGAGTTGCCATGGTCATGTTTCTTCTAAGCCACAGAAACCCTAAGACAGTATGACCTGGGCTGAATCCTTCAAGACTGTCATCAAAGACAAAAAATGAATGACAAACTATCAGACTAGAGGAGATTAAGAAAGTAGTATACTTAGTGTATATAGACTGGATTCAGGAACAAATGAAAAAAATTGAGAAAGATCAAATAAAACCTGGAATAAAACTCAGCTGCAGCAGTGCATACCAAAAACCTTAGCACTTGTGAAGCTGAGACAGGAGCATCATGAAGCCTGTCTGATCACATTGCAGTTATCTTCAAATACAAAGCCAGAATTTCATGGTAGCCAGGGATGTTCTGGCTAGTTTTTGTCAACTTGATATAATGTGGTATCATCTGGTAAGAGATAGTCTCAACTGAAGAACTGCCCAGATCTGTATTGCCTATGGTCATGTCTATGAGAAACTATTTTAATTGATGTGAAGTGTCCCAGACCACTGGGGATGGCAGTATCTCTAAGAAGGTAGGCCTGGACTGCTGTGGATATCGCTCTGTATAAATAAAATGCTAATTGGTCAGTAGCCAGGCAGGAAGTATAGGCAGAACAAGGAGAGAGGAGAATTCTGTGAAGTGGGAGGCTGAGGCAGGGAGACATTGCCAGCCGCCACCATGACAAGCAACATGTAAAGCACCAGTAAGCCACGAGCCACTTGGCAACCTACAGGTTAATGGAAATGGGTTAATTTAAGATGTAAGAGCTAGTCAATAGTTAGCCTGAGCTAATGGCCAAGCAATTTTAATTAATATGAGCTTCTGAGTGATTATTTTATAAGAGGGCTGCGGAACTGTGGGGGGCCAAGCAGGACTAGAGAAAACTCCAGCTACACTGGACTGTATAAGAAAGTTAGCTGAACACAGGGCTAGTGAGCAAAGATGGCTAGCAAGCAGTATCCTTCATGACTCCTGCTATATTTCCTTGGCTGTAAGTTCCTTGGTCAGAGGTAATGGTGCACAGACTAGCAAGCAGTCCTGCCTTCAGGTTCCTGCCCTCCCTAAGTTGCTTTTGTACAGAATGCTTTATCACAGCAACAGAGATCAAACTAGAATGGGGAGTCATTTTTCTTCAGCAAGCTAGCCATTGGGAGGTTGGCCCATGCTCATGCAGGCAGCACTGACTGGACTATGGGCTATTTAAAGAGAGGGTATGAAGGTGGGAGGGGCTCCTGTTAGCAGGATCGAAAGCAACTTGTGGGTGGATGTGATCAAAGTCCTTGCAAATATGTATGAAAACTGAATAAAAAAATAAAAAACAAAACAAAAAGCAAACAAAAGATATATATCAGCCCTGATTTTTTAGTTCTAACAAACACATGATCCACAATATTAATAAATATTGGAAATGGGGAGGCAGTTTATGTACAATCTTTGCAACTTTTCTATAAACTCAGTTATCCCCAAAGTGTCCACTCACTTACAGCTTGTCACCAAGTTACTATCCTAAAAATGTCCGAACAACTGGTTTACCAACTGTAGATGTTAATTTGGTATTTAATAAGACATAATACTGAAATCTGGCATTAGACTCGGCTCTTCTGGTTCTGACAAGCAAGATTTTAATTGCATTGTGCTTTAATCTTCCATGACTGTTTAGTCTGGCTGATGAGATGGTTCAACACGTAAAAGTGCTGGCCACTCAACAATGTAAAATTGATGACCTAGAACAAAAATGAAGGTGGAGAGAACAGACTCCACAAAGTTGATCTCTGACTTCCACTTCTACTCCACTGTGGCAAGTATACCCCACCTCCTAACATCATACACACTAATAACAGAAACAACAAAAAGTGTTTTCTATTTTCCAAAAATAATACAACTTCCAGGTCAAGAAAATCATGATGGCACTCTTATTTTAAAACATTTAAAACCTGGGTCAAAAAAACAAAACAAAACAAAACAACTCCATCAGCAGAGCCCTTCTTATCCTCTATCAGAATCTGCAATAGTGGTCCTGAGCACCAAGCAGCAAGAAGAGATTGGCAGTATTATCTTCCAACTGTTCCTAGTTGGCCTTGTACAGACAGCTTGAACTTAAAGACACTGCTAAATGACAGTAAGTATTAGCTACTGAGTAATTCTAGGAGCACACTGACATTCTAACTGACCACAGGGAGTGAGGTATGTAATGTCCTGGTACTGAGCATACAAAAAGGAAAATTCTGAGTACCCTAAATCGTTATCACCATGTTTGTTATGTTTGAAAGCAAGCACGATAAAGTGAATAGTAGAAAGCATAAACATTTAACAAAACAAAAACTATTATGAGCTTAGAAGTGAACATTCAATCAGAGCTTAAAATTTTCTAGTTTATTTCTAATAATCAACACTTGATGCTTGACTCACAGATTTTATTTACATTTGTCTACAGTATCATTTCCTGATGAAATGAACTAGAGTACAGCTCAATTAAACCAAATCAAATCATAATCATCTGAACTGTTTGTAAACTCCTATTAGCTAAATTTATAATCTTGTATTTGCCTAGTACAGCCCAAGTTTTAAATACAGAAAGCACAAGAACAAACCAAGGCTAACACGTTGGATCTAGAAGATCTGGGCAACTCAGAAAGTCGACTTTTGAGAAGTCTGAGGCACAATTACAAGAGAGTAAGAGTTCGTGTGCAACCTACAGTAAATGCAGCAAGGAAAATAAGACAAAAAACACAGGAAAGCTTGTAAAAATATTACGAAAATATTTCTACATACGATATCTTGTTTTCATCTTTAGATCAGCTGAAGTGAAAAACACTCACTTTAAAATAAAAACACTTTGTTTGATCTGCTTACTAAACATCTTAGAATGCTTCACTTATTTAAACTGGAGCAAATACTAGAGGGATAAACAGGAAAACACTTCCTGTAACAAGGAGGCCCAGCACAACTGCCGGCCCCTTGTATACTTACCTTGCTTTGCTGCTGGAGAGACTGTTAGAAGAAACCTTTTAACTTTTAAACCAGAGAACAAAATGGATCTCAAGTGACCAGATTTTAATTTTAGAAATAAAGCTCTGAAAGCATTTTAAGCCATATGTTTTTTCAGGTGAGGAAAAAAAAATGATTTTGCTTAAATCATGCAGAAATAAGAATTCTTCTGTTATTTGGATATCTACAGTGTTGAAAAACTAAACAACTCAAGGCAAATGTTCACTTAAATTCACGTCTCTGTCAGCCTGTCACCGAGAAATAGGCTTCAATAGCTTTCTTCAATTTGCTCATTAACTATGATTTACCCTTTTTTTAAAACCTTTATCAAGCAAGTACAATATCTTGTAACTAGATTTAAAGGATATCCATATTTTTTAAACTTTTATTTCAGATAGACATTCTGAAATAAGATGGATAACTTACTCCTTCTGCAATTGCTAATATCCTCTTGCAATAAAAGTGGTATAAAGCTGATAGGAGAGAGAATGATTCTAAGGCACCCTCAGCAGAGAGAACTGAAAGTTTATGGTTGTCAGCTTTGTGATGTAGTTAACTTCTGGTAAGAAATTACTGGCACAGGTAAACAACGTAACCTGATTGACTACTTTTCCCATATGAACATGAATTGGTTATTCCAATAAGTTTATTAACCTTGCCCATGTGTCTGAAGTCTAGGCAAGCCCAGGCAACCCTGTCTCAGTCAATAGGACATTTAGGAATGAAAAGGACAAGAAAACAAAGTATTTTGCTACAGCTGTTTTTAAATGAAGCAAATGGTTGTAAATAATGAATAGAACATTTTATCTGGGGAACAGTATGGCTTAAAATGCAATTTACTTTCAATTTCACAAATAAACACAGTTGTACTGTTTTGAAAAGCAATAAAGGCATGCACCTCTACTAGCAGATGTAGTACTTCTGACCAAATGAGACATCAACTTCCTAAAAAATATGCTTCATGCACTGTATTCAATGTTTTTTAAAGATGTAAATTTTAATACATTATTTCTTTTTTGAACTTGAACGGGAACCAGAATGGGTTGATCCAGAAGACGACCTGTGGTGCCTGTAAGACACAAGAAAGCAGCACAATCTGTAAACAGCACTGAACTGTGTGTCTGTTCCTAAGACTGCAAACACCAGAAAAGAGCAGAGCAAACACTAGGTACCTTGATGCTGGCAGAAATAGTTAAACCTAAGATGTTTATACACATTTTTGGATGTGAGCCCAGAATTGGTGTGATTTTAACTCAAAACTCTCTACAAGTTAAGAATATAGTAACACTCATTTCAAATATAGCCACCTCTCAATTATTCAAGGTAATGAAGGGAAAGCCTCTAAAGAAGCCTGTAATCATATATATGTACAAGGAAGGCATATAATCCTGGTAAGGCGTGTGATAAAATCAATGTCAGCTGTACCACAGACAGCACACCAGGTCTCTATGTAACACAGCAAGGTTTCTGCGTGTATGAAATAGTACATTCAAAGCAATGAAGTTTTGGAAGTCTAGATCATATAACGTGACTGTATAGTTAGTTAAAGTGCTAGAGTCATGCAGCCAATACGAGTAAGTCAGTATCAACCTGGGCAAAGTGGTGGTGTTCCGTAGGGGATGGCCCTGGGCTCAGGGTTGTTTAATGTTTTCACCAATCACCTGGCTTATGGAATAGAGAACATGTGCATTAAGTTTAGATGACAACAAACTAGGGGGGGATTATATGTGGCTAAGATAAAAATTTGCACAAGTAATGATAAGGCAACAGAATGAATTTCACTCAAATACAGAGTAATTTTCTTATAAAGAAACAATGCACAGAAAGTAGACTGGGTATAATCTTGAACTTCAAGTGTCAAGGACATCTAATTCTGTGAGAGTTGGAAAAACACGATCCTACCCACTGAACCTAGTTGTCACTAGACTCTAATGATCCTTCTTTTCTTTCACAATCTAAGAGGATATGGAAAATTTGCTAAGATTACAAATAAGTTACAAATCATAATTAAGACATTGAGAACCAAGAGAAAATTAGTGGAACTGAATAATTAAGTCTGCTGCAAAAAGGCTGACTATGCACATGACAAGTGCACTCTAGATACAGGGACCCAGGACCCAGTGAAGGTCCTTTTCAAAAGAGAAAAATGGATCTGGACTGCAAGATGAAAACAGTACTAACTACAAGGAGTAATTTCCATGTAAAGGGCATAAATGTCATTTGCTATGGAAATGCACATTTATTTAAATGAGGACAGAGCCCAATAATCTTACAAGGTAATCCTGATTAGGTACCCTAGAATCCCTACCATTTCAAGCATTTAATTTTAAAAAACAAACACATGTAAATTATTTCAACATATAGCTTTTGGGTTTCAATCTTTAAGAACACAAAAATAACCGAGAGTTGGCTATAATAATATACATGGAAATAAAAATTCAAACAATAAAATGGTCAGAGAACAGTCTGTCCTGTAACTTTTTCTAAAGTTAATAACAAGCTAAACAAATTAATCTGATTTCTGAAGTTTAAAGATGAAAAATATAATTTTAAAGAACAACGGAGAAAGAAATCTAACCCTTGCCTAGAAAGTCCATCTACTCAATACAGGTAAGAACACCCATTCTTATGCTACAGAAACCCAAACCTTTCGGGTGACCGTGATCTCGTTCGTCTTTTTTTGCGAACAGCGGGTGAAGAAGGTCTAGAGCGACTCCTCTTCCTGTCTCTCTCAGGAGATGATGAAGAACTTGAGTAAGATCTTTTTCTTGGGGAAGAAGAGCCCCTGTGGGACCTGGAGCTGGATCTTCATTGATTGAGAGACAAAGCAGACGTTTCATTAAGGGCACAAGTGAAGACTGTCCAGTTCCCAAAAGCAAACAGGACTGTGACTAAAGAGTTTTGTAAGAGGGAATACTTACTGCTTACTCAGCAGAAGACTTCTGGTTCAACCTTGAACATGTTCTATATATGTACAACCATTTTATCTTTAAAAAATTCTAAATATTTACCCCATGGTAATTAAAAAGCAGCTTACCGAATTAAGACAGAATATTTTTATAATTGTTTATAGCTTTGTAACTTAAAGAATTTAATGAGTGAAATCAAGAGGTAACTTCAGTTCTGTGACTTTATGGTCAGAAATTAGATCCTTCCATTTGGGGAAAATCCATATTAGGTAAAACCTGCTGAGGACAATGAACTTAACTTCTCACAGTAAGGTGCAACAGAGAACTGAGGGACACAGCCCAGAAAGATAAAACACTATGCTGCTAAGTAGTCAAAGAAAATGGCAGCTTTAAAACTTGACTTGTGCTTAGATCTGTGCTATGAAATACGAAGTGGAGACATTCACATGTTTTAGGTGGAAGTAAATGTAAAAATTTTGAAATGCAAATTTATCTTCATTTACATATTTTGGTTGAAGGAATTTAGCTCAAACTTCCCAAAAAATTCACCTTTGGGCTTAAAGTAAAATGAGAAAGCCCAAAAGGAGAATTCTTTGGAAAGTTGTAAGCAATTAAAATGTTTGGGAAGGATATGAAGGCTTTTCTGTAAACCTCAGTCCTACAGTTCCCAAAGGGACCACACCAAGACTCAACGGTTTGGGAATAAGCACCAACATGTTAATACACATAAGAAAGCACCTTTGCTCTACTGTGTACTGGCTCAGTGAGTGCACGCATCACTCTTCTCCTCAGTGGGACTCAGGTAGTTGCCCTCAAACGCTAGAATGGGCTCAAGTAAGTGAACCTTTCTCCAGAAGAGCTGTTAGAAAACTTCAATGTGAATTCCCACAAGTGGGATTTTAGAGGCTTTCGTATTAATGCTGCGTGCCTGCAGTAGACAACAATACAGTGACTTAACATAAAGGCAGCATATTTTAATGAAGTACAGAAAATTTTTTCAAGAAAGCAAAAAACTAGCGTTTCAAGTGCTTCTTTACCAATCATTTTCCTTTGATATTTGACTAAAGACAACTGAAATGTTCACAGCATGGCTTATATCACATATTAGCTAAGCTAACATCCTACTTGACTTAGTTTTAAGAGGAATGCTTGCTATACAGATAATTTATAATATTCTTTAAAGTCAGGGAAATTGAGTAAACACAAACAGCACTCACTAGAAACTGAGATAAAAATGGCAAAGCTGCTTCTGTAAAACAAAATCTAGCTAGGCGGTGGTGGTGCACGCCTTTAATCCCAGCACTTGGAGGCAGAAGCAGGGGGAATCTCTGTGAGTTCAAGGCTAGCCTGGTCTACAGAGTGAGTTCCAGGATAGCCAGGACTGTTTCACAGAGAAACCCTGTCTCGAAAAACCAAAACCAAAACCAAAACCAAACCAAACAAAAAACCCAAAAAAACTATTTTCAAGCTGCATACTGGATTGGTCTTCCTTTTAGCAATAATGCTTCGTTTGTATGTCAAATTTAATTAACGACTGCAAACATAATCTTAATACACTAGCTATCTGGTGGAGTAACGGCCTCATCTTCCTACATTACACATCTTAGCTATGGATGTAAAGCCATCCCCCTCTTTCAACCATGGAAATGTCTTGGCACATACTGAGAAATGCAAACATTTTGTGGTGGAGTTAAGCTGAGGCAAGTGCATTAGTTTCCTAGTGCTAAAATAAAATTGACAAATACAGGCAGTGATGAGGGAAAGCAGTGGAGCCTTCTGAAGCCTTTAATACTTTCCTCTCTGCCTTACAGAGAGGTGCTACCTCATTCACCTTGATTTCGAACCACGGGATCTGGAATGTTCTCTGGAACCGGAGTGAGACCTTGACTGCGAGCTGGAAGAGCTTCTTGAACGGGACCTGGAACAACATGGAAGCATTTTTTTTCCCTAGGACCACATTTTTGAGCTCTGTGATATGAACACTGAAAGAAAGACACATATTAAAAGTGCATTTTTCACATAAAAAGGTGTCTATGCAAGATACACATTTTCCAAGCAAAAATACTTAAAACGAGGCTTCTTATTATAATAAAGATTAAGCTAAAAAAAAGAAAAAGAAAAAAAAACCAAAATTCAGTGACGACTTTCCAAACCTGATCAAACCACCATCAGGCCCCTAGATTGTAAGCAAGTGAGCACCACCAGTTCACAGACAACGTTATAGTTGCATTTACATTCTCCAGTGCTCCTATCCCTTTCATTTGCAAAATTCCAGTGTCTAGTAGGCAGGAAACACTAACTGCTGCATCATACCTTTGATGTCTACTCTTCACTTGTTTGTCTTAAATAATTAAAGATACAACAACTCTAGCAGTGCTCTACATTAATTACATTACTGACAAGAGTGTGGCGCTGGGGAAATATAACACTTACATTCTGAAAACTACAAATGACATCTTTGACACCATCTTTAGTTTGTCCCCACAAATAGGGACTGTCACACTTTTATCTCGGAATATTCTTTTTTGAGGAAAGGGAGGGACTAGGAATGGAGCCTAGGGCCCCATACATGCCAACAAGGCTCTATCACCGACGTATATTCCCCAGCCCTCAAAATTACTCTAAAAAATAGCATTTTAAGGCTTTACAGTACTAATTAAATAGCTGGCAACACACTTTATTCTTAAATATGATTAAAAATAATTGGCCATTAATTCTGAACTGTAAAATGCACTGTTTACTTTTTTATTATTAAATACATGTTTATAGCAACCCAACATCCTGCTTTAATTCCTGGACACCCTAGAAGCACAAGTACCCAATGGCTGAATTGGTCCTTTATTCAGAAGAGTAATATCAAAATAAATTATAAAAAACTGTGCAAGTGTCAATGCCCAGAAAATCTCCAGCTAAGCCTCTAACATGCTGAATTAAACATCCACCTGACAATGTCTGAACATAAGCTATCTACTTAAATATATATCACTTACACAATGCTTTTGAACTTAAGTTACTCTAGTCAAGGTCAAGAGGGTGACACAGAACAAGCAACTTCTAAGATTTGAAATTTATGAAAATACAAGGCAGTATCTGTAGGGTACAAAGATAAAGTCTAGCTAAGGTGACTTGATTGAAATATTAAAAAAAAAAGGCTTATTTAAGTTAAGTAGTAAAATAAAGTTTATAAGTAAAAAGTTAGATACTGACATTTTGACTGGTGTTACCCTTGGCCTGCACCCGTTTACCTGGACCTGGACCTTGAACTTGAGGGGGAGGATGAGCGTGATGAAGATCTCGAGTGAGATGATCGAGACTTGGAGCGACTCCGTCTATTTGCTTTCTTTTTGTTACTCTCTTCTTCTTCACTGGCATCAAGATTATATTTTGAGAGATCAGCATCATCTTCATCCTCGTCCTAATAAAATTTTAATTCTATATAGACATTTACATATTAACGACACCCACCAAAAAAGATGAATATTCATTATACTGGACATTACCAGATGGGTCTGTTACCAAATACTTCAATGCAAACTCATTTTCAATTTGGGAGTTCACCTACTAAACTCATTTGATAGAACAGACTTGAGAACTGGGCAGACAATTCAGGCAAGATCCTAGAAGCTATGCTACTAGCTCTCAGAACATACATCAAACTGTCAGCAATTTTTAATTTTATTTGGAGTCCTAGGTCCACTACCACCAGCCTTAGTTTGGGACACTATTTTCTTTTCCCTCTGCTACAATAACCGTTTGCTTGGTTCTGTGCCCCTAACACTTAAACAGGGACCCGCTCTTCCATGAGCTTGGCTTGGAAGATGAGAGCCAGACCATAAACTCATACTGTGGCCCACACTGGGTAAAAGCTGTCCTCCTTACCCCACTCTTCCTCCCCTCTGCAATGGTCCAGGTGCCAAAAGTATCTTGTGCTTCAGAACAGTTCCAGAAAAATAAAGGGGAGCGAGGATAGGGGGGAGGGGGCATTACCTCATCCAGCTTATATTTAGACAGATCTTCATCCTCATCCTCTTCTTCTCCCTCTGACTCTTTATCTTCGACTTCCTTTAATATAGATGCGGGACCAACTGCCTTCCCCCTGTATTTTTTCTTTTTACGTCCAAACTAGAGAAAAAAAAAATATTTCTTTAGGCTGAAACACAAGAAAATCATTTTATTTTCTAAAACTAATCTGTGCCCATGTGAAAAGGCAGATGTTGAAATTTGAGCCTGTAATTCCTGAACTTGCAGGTGGAGATGGAAGATCCCTTACTGGTCAGTCAATCTGGTTAACAGTTGAGTTCTAGGTTCAATGAGAGAACCTGTCTCCAAAAGCAAGGTAAAGATCAATAGAGGAGGATACCTAGTATCAATCTATAGCCTCTACACATGCACAGATGCACAAATAAGGGCATACACACAGAGTTCTTCTGAATTTCAGGTTATTTTTTTTTAATCATTTCTCTAACTTAAAACATAGTTTGTACACATCCATTGAAAGCTTACCTCATCATACTCCCCATCAGATTCTTCTCTTTCTATATATTCAACATTTTCTCTTTCATTAAAACCACCTCCATATCCTTTAAAAAGAGGGCATAAATTGCTGTAACAACTCAAATAACAAAATAATTATATTCATACTATTCCCAACTAACAGAATATGAAAATCTAATCAATGCTGGTTACTTATGTAACTAATAATTACTAATCTTTTACAAGTTAAAAATCATGATAGAGAAAAAGTCAGGTCTATTTTAGTTGTAAAATCATAGCAGTACTTACAGATCTTTTCAATTTAAAATTTTCCATGACAGGTCATTCATGGAATATATATGTAAGACATCTTTATTTTCTGCTATGACAAAGTTTTAGAAGAACTTTCCTCTCCATTATAATTCTTCTAGAACTGGGCTCATAAGAACCAGGATTAAACATATTTATCTGAAAACGCAGACTTTGAAGGCTCAGTGATCATCATAAGGGGTTGGAAGTACTGTAAGCGCCAAGGGAGTGGAGTACACTATAGTAAAACAGTTAATTTGATGGACCCAACCACACAGCTAGAATATGAACTCACATGGCTGTGACTGTATACAATACTTTCACAAGATCAAGCTGACAAAGTCCCAGCATGGATTGGGGAGGGGCTCATAAAATCTCATGCCAGCTGAGATGTTACTGGCAACTGATGGCTGCTAGGAGGCAATGTAAGCTACATGCCTATGAGTGCTACCTATGTTCCAGTAGATGGATAGTGTGATATCCACACACATATAGCCAGCACTAATGGTACTCAGTGGTTTAAAAAGGAAAGAGAGCACATGACGTTGAGGAAGGAACACAGTAGTAGGGTTAGGAAAGGAACTGGAGGTGAGGGAATGCCTGGCCTGTGAATTTAACCAAAACACATAGGCACATGTGAAATTCTCAAAGAGTAAAAAGAAAATGCAAAAAACCCCTCAACAACAACAGAAAAGAATTTACAGTTTTATCCTTTGTAATTTGTAGTTTTAAAGTTTTCCTGATAATTCTAAAATGTGGCTAAGGTTAAGAATAATTTTTTTTTTTAAGTTTTACAGGATGTCTTTAAAGGTGTTCTTTACCTCTCTATCACACTAGAACATAAGATATTGCTGTACCATTACCAACTATCATACATCTAAGCTAGGAGGAGGCAGAAAAGCATTTCTGAAAGTACCCTAGGATTCCAAATGCTAGGGTAAGGCTGCCTAACTACTTCCTAAACTGCAATTATCAAACAAAAGATTATTTTTAAGTGCAAAGGGAATAAAAAATCCCAGTAAATAACATAAGGTGTGGTGGTACATGCTTTTGATACCAGCGCACCGGAGGATGAGGCAGAAGGTGAGAGATGAAAGCCATTCTTGGTCATACATCAAGTTTGAGCCCAGCTAAGGCTACATAAACAAAACACACACATACAAAACAAACAAACCAAAGGAGAAGATAGACAGATTCCTTGTTTTTTCCTGTGCTCTCTTGAGAAGTTAGTAACTGCTTTTAGAAATGGTGATTAGAATGTGGCTCAATCTTACCCGTTCTTTCTTCTAACTTAGCATACTTTGGAGTATTACACATGTTACACTCTGATCTTCTGGCCCAATTCACATTACTGCAACTATAATTGCAAAACAAAAACAAAAACAAAAACAACCCATCAAATCAGAAAGCCCCTAAACATTGAAAAAGTATTACTAACATTTGAAAACTTTTTGGTGAAATAATTAGTAAAAAGCAATGTTCATTAAGAAGTAATGTAAATTAAAAAACAAAACATTGTTCTAGGGAACATGGATTCCCAGAATAGCCTGAACTATGTAGGTGGAGAACAAAAATCTATTCAATATAAATAATACTTTGAGAAGTGACATATCTAGAGATTCAGCTACCTAGGGGAAAAACACTAATTAAAGGTTCCATTTTTTATCATCTCTGAATCTACCTTGAAGAGTAAGGACTTACCTTTCAAATATGGCTGCTGTTCTTATTCCCCTCTAAGGACTCCTTGAAGTACACTAAATCCTGTGACTTATGTTTGTTGCTAAACAATTTCTCTGTATAGATTCAAGATCTATTTACAGGACCAGAGCTTTATCTAAGATGCTTTTCTGGTCTGGTGCTCTTTCATATATGTAGGATCTACCTATATACTACAAAATGTGGAGATTGGGAAAAGCAATACAAAATGAAATCTAAATTTGAAAGGCAAAAATATTAAGAAATCTAACAAGAAACATTTTTTTATGGAAGGCAATTTATGTGTCCCAAGTGACTTTCATATTATAAAAGAGGCAAAAAAAAAAAAAAAAAAAAAAAAAAAAAAAAAAAAAAAAAAAAAAAAAAAAGAAAAAAAAAGGGCAATTGTTCAGTAACAGGAAGTAGACCACACGGTACCCATCCCTTTGGTTATCAGCTCATAAACACTCTATCACAGCAACTATTAGTCATACTCCTGAAAGATACAACTTAAAATTTCCTTCTCACTATATACTTAGATTAAGACCAATACACTTTTGGCTTGAAAGGATACAACGTCTTGTCATGTAATTAGTAAGAGTTCATTGTATTAATGAGTGATGATTGGAAATATTTTTATTGCAGCAACAGACAGCAATCTGAAGCACATACGTTTTGCACTGCCAGTCATTTGCACTAAATAAGCCTCGGCTCTTCTCTGCCAGCGTCTTTCCTATTTCTGTGCCCCCAGCTTTCATCATCTTGGCTTCAGTTGTTTTCTCTGAAACAGACAAATAACGCAATATAAATCCCGGGAAGTAAAGAAATGATCTATATACACATTAGTAAGAGACTCAACCATAAGCACTCACCTCGACCACATCTATTACAGCTTGTTCTCCTAGCGAAGTTTACATTTCCACACCTGAAAATAAAATGAGACGCACTTAAAGAATTCCTATTATTTAAAATGTCTACATTTTTTTTTTTTTTTCGAGACAGAGTTTCTCTGTGTAGCTTTGCGCCTTTCCTGGATCTCGCTCTGTAGACCAGGCTGGCCTTGAACTCACAAAGATCCGCCTGCCTCTGCCTCCCAAGTGCTGGGATTAAAGGCGTGTGCCACCATCGCCCAGCCCTAAAATGTCTACATTTTAAACTGTCTTCACTACACCCTGACACACAGAACACGCTTACCCATCATGTTACTATTAGCATCACTGGAGAGAAACAAGAGCTGGGTAAAAATCTCAACCTTGTGTTTACAACCACAGCAACCACTTCAGGATTCAAACCTTTCTATCTTCAGACTAGCAAGTTTCATTAGTTACATTAAATTTCCTTGTTCCAAAGTGTCATCTGACTCATCTTCAACAATTAGACAAGACACCAGAGATTGAAAAAAGAACACCAAATTAACTCTCAGTGAAAGTTGTTTTGAGTTTTATAAGAAGCACAAAATCCTGGGGATGGATCCACCAGGAAAGAACAGGAACAGAAAGGCTTCAGAGAACTGATGAAACGTCTTTTTGGAAGTAGGATGTGGGACGATAAAAGAAAAGATTGGTTATATTAACTAAGAACATTAAATAGTAAAGAAACTCGAGTATTATAGTGTTTATCAAACCTAAAACAGCAAAAAAACCCAAAAAACAACCCCCCCAAAAACTACAAGAAATCAAACCACAACCAATAAAGTAAAACTGTATGACATTATATACTAAAGTTTTTATACACTTACATGACCTTAGTGTTTAAGTTAAAGCATGTTAGATGCTCCAAACATTTAATGTTTAAATTAAAAAAGAAAAACAAGCCATCACCCGATTTGAAAAAATGAATGAGATAAGTCAACGGAAGTGCAACACTAAACTGAAAGATCCATACAGCTTTTAGGTTGCTTTTCTCTGTTAAAAAATACCAAAGATCCAAGTAACACTGAAAATATGTTCTGAAAAAAATGTCTCCTTGATTTATATAATCAGTAGAACTAACATTCTGTTTCTGCCAATGAGTTTAGGTGCACAGGACTACGAACGATGTGTTCTTCCGAAATATCTGGGTGTGTTTTCAGTAAGAACACAGAGAGCATATTTCCTACAACTCACAGATGGCACCAAGTCAGAGGCTGGTGTCCTGATCTCCGAGGTTCCAAAGTGTCACACAGTTCTCTGTAATGACAGTCCAAGGGAACCTCAGTTCTACTGTTGGTCAGTGAGCTTAAGCCAAATGGTTATCAACCAAGTGAATGCGAGTGACATCATTTCCTTGCTCTCCACGTACTACCCGTGCTATTTCGGTGTTAACTGTAAGAGAGCAATGTATGTTCTAGCAAAGGTGCTTCAAGTCAGACGCTCGGCAGCAGATAGAATTGGCAGTAAACCCGGGCTTCCTCCAGCTCTGCCTCTGGCTCTCTAAGAACATGAGCCGGTGCATCGCTGTTTTGTTTGTTTGTTTTGAATACGGACATCTATCTATTCAGTAAGATTTCCATCGCCGTCAGCCAAACACACCGGCTTCGCAGCCACGTACGCGCCCGGGCCTCTGCCTCCAGGGAGGAGGGTGCGAAAAGCCAAAGTCACCGGGAAGATCAGCAGGCCCGAGAGCACGGCGGGCCCGGGGAGGGACGGAGGGCGCCGCGCCGCGTCAGAGCTCGGAGCGGGGCGACCGAGCCGAGAGCCGAGTTCCGCGCGGGGGTCACGTGCGGGCCGCCCGCCACCGCTCAAGGCCGGTCGCCCCGCCGTCCCCACAAAGGCCGCAGTCCCGCCGCCGCCCTCACCAGGGCCGCCCCTGGCCCCTGGCCCCACACCGCCCCGCCGCGCTCACTTCTTGTCAGGGCAGATCCAGTCTCCGTCACTGACTCGGAAATTCTTGGTCGACATCTTGGACGCCAGCAGCACCGCCGCCCGCAGCGACGTCCCGACCGGAGCCGCGGGGCCTCGCGCCGGGCTGTCCGCGCGCCGCCGGACCCGCCCTCCGCTGTGGGGGAGGGCGGACGACGAAGGCCACCCGGCCGCGAGCCTGGCGCCGCCGTGCGGAGACGACGGCCGAGAGCCCGCTGCTCGGCCCGAGGCTCGGCCCCGATGCGGCCTCACCGCGTTCCCGGGCAGGCGCCGCGGGGACAGCCCGGCCCGGTGGCCATCATAGCGCCGCGCGGACCGTCACAGCGCCGCAGGCGCAGCAGAGGGACCCGCAGACCAAAGGACCCCAGAGAAACGCACTTCCGCCTCCGGGGCGGGGCTAGGGTCGCAGAGGCGGAAGTGACTCGCGGGGCTCGGAAGCATGGGCTTTGGCGTTGCCTAGGGTTCACTGGGGCGAGCGAGAAGGTGGGCGGTTCGAGTCTTTGGAGAAGATATTTAATTTGAGTTTTGGACAGAGTGTGAGAGTTAGCCCACGTTACCCTGGATTTCACTATGTCGTCCAGGCCGACTTCGAACCTCTGCCACGCCAACACGCCAGGCTTTTCTCTTGTGAGAACACAGGGTCTTACTGTTAGCTCCAGCTGAAATCCTTTTGTAGCCAGGCTGCTTAGTATTTGGATAGAAAAGTGGTGGCGCACGCCTTTAATCCCAGCACTCGGGAGGCAGAGCCAGGCGGATCTCTGTGAGTTCGAGGCCAGCCTGGGCTACCAAGTGAGTTCCAGGAAAGGCGCAAAGCTACACAGAGAAACCCTGTCTCGAAAAACCAAAAAAAAAAAAGAAAAGTCATATTAATAAAGGAAGACAACTCTCTTCTTTGGGATGTTGTTTAAAAACTTAGCTTTCTTTTTTTTTTTTTTTTAGGTTTTTTGAGACAGGGTTTCTCTGTGTAGCTTTGCGCCTTTCCTGGATCTCGCTCTGTAGACCAGGCTGGCCTCGAACTTATAGAGATCCGCCTGCCTCTGCCTCCCGAGTGCTGGGATTAAAGGCGTGTGCCACCACCGCCCGGCAAAGACTTAGCTTTTTAAGTAGGTAGTATGTGTAAGAGATAAGCCTTGCACACAAGGGAGCGGAGTTATCCAAAGGTTTTAGAAATAGAACATTGTCAGTAGTGACACAATTACCAGTGTCTTCTGATTCCAGCTCGCTACCTTTCTCCAGATTTAATTTATTGAATTTATTCTCTTGCTTTTTAAAAGATTTAGTTCATGCAACATATGCTTATTTATTAAAGCGAGAAATAGTGATAATTTATTGTTACAGAAAGTTGTTTTTAGGCTTAGCATGGTTTCTGAATTTGCAGGTAGTTGCATGTAGCTTACCTTTATTTCAGTTACACATACTGCTACCAATCCTTTCTTGTGACAGTTATCTCACATACCCCACACTTTGCTGCTGTAATGGACACTCATGTGAACATTCTTACAGTTACCCTCCAAACCCCGTGTTTTGCCATTGCTATCAACACACATGTGAAAATCTTTTTTTTTTTTTTTTTTGGTTTTTCGAGACAAGGTTTCTCTGTAATAGCCCTCTGTCGTGGAACTCACTTTGTAGACCAGGCTGGCCTTGAACTCACAGAGATCCACCTGCCTCTGCCTCCCAAATGCTGAGTTTAAAGGGCACGCCACCACTGCCTGGCCATATGAACATTCTTAATGCATGAGTTCTGTCATTTACATGAGAAAGGTTTTCTAGCATATAGCTCATATCTAGGAGAAAAATTGTTAAGCTACATTTTGGTTTTAATTTCTAACACCTTTGATAACTGTAATATCTTGGTCATTTCAGTTGGAAACTTTTATTTTGATAGTTGTTCACCTCTTGGCAGTTATTTTGTATTGTATAATCACTGATTTTTTTCCCTGAATTTTTATCCTGGATAATGTGGAATTTTTACTTTCTTTTAGCAAGCAATCCTTGGGTTGGCACCACAGGCTCAGTCTTGCGTGTGAGTACTGGTTCTATATCAGTTGGCTCCTCTGAGTATTTGTTGTACTTTAAAAATGTTTTAATGTATATGGGTGTTTCGTCTGCATGTATATTTATGCAGCACATGCGTGCTGGGTGCCCTCAGATCAGAAGTAGGTGTGGATCCCCTGGAACTGGAGGTACAGATGGTTCTGAGCCACCATGTGGGTTCTGGGAATCGAACCTGAGTCTTCTGGAAAAGCAGTCAGTGTTCTTAACCACTGAGCCATCTCTTCAGCCCCTGCTATGCTGCTATCTTGAGTCTGCCTTGTACGTAAACACTTGGATTGTTTTGGCACCTTAGCAGTAATTTAATTAGCAGTAACTACAATTTAATTGTAGTTCATTACATGAATCATTTCCATCCTGCTTTGATTTGTTCTTTACACATTCAGTTGAGATATGAGCACAGAACTTGAGTGGGTTCATACCTGATTTGGAGGACACACTTCTCCATCCATTTTTTTTTTTTTAGATTCCTCTCATGTACTCTGTCTTGCAGTATTACTTTTCTGGTCCTTTTGTGAGAAATATGAGATTTCCCTTGAAGTTTTGGCAGCTTGTCATAGCTATAGCATTTGACTAGGACCCTAACATAGGGTGAAGTGGTGAGTGAAAAGAGAAAGGTGTGGGATTTTTTCCCCTCACATTCCCTTGCTGTTATATGCAAATATAATTTCTCCTATACTCTAGGTCTTCGGGTGGGAGGAGAGCTGTGAAACAGTTTAGTATTTCCTTACAGACTGGTAGCTCACAGAATGTCTTTTCCCAGTTCATATGGCCAGAAAAGAATTTTTTAAATTAATTATTACTGATTGTGCTGTTACTACAGATTTACTAGCTGCCCAACCAGCTACAAGAGAAAATGGCAGAACGAAATGAGGCAACCATCAAACAAACCCATACAACCAAGTTTTGGCTCTCTGCTGCAGTTTGCTCATTTTTATTCTCTTCTTGGTGCCCACAGACAAGGAAGGACTTTGTGTGTTTTCTTCAAGTTTTCCTTGTGATCAATTAGAGAATAAATGGTGAACCCGCCCCATCCTCTATTGCTGCAAGTCAGGGAATTACAAATTAAAACCATAATGTGCTAATGCCCATCAATCAGAGTGAACAAAAAAGCTCAGACAGTCCTAGGAATTAGAGGATGACTAGAGTCCTTATGGATTGCAGACCATGTTTTCCTTCATATGGTTTGACTCACACTGTTTTGGTTTCATCATGGTGCAGATAACGATACCCAGGAGACTTCACAGATTAAACTGAACTTTTCTTAATCTAATGATATTTGGTATACTTGAGATTATGGGCAGTAATATAGTGAGATAACATGAAGACTTACACTCTACTGTGTACAGTGTTGCTAAGCTATGGTGCTCAGTCAGTTAGGTATATTCAATGTGTTTTCAGTGTACAATAGGCTTGTCATATGGTATTTTCAACCCAGTGATCTTTATGTAACCCCAGAACAAGACAAGTAGCATTTTTTCCCTCTGGGAAATACTTGTTAGACTCTACTAAATCTGAACAAATGCATACACTATGACCCTGAAACTCCTCAGGGTGTTCCCTAAGCCCTGCAAATGTTTCTACTGAAGATAACATACAACTTCATTACTTGTGATGCTCCCAGTGGGAAGTTTCCTGACTTTATCAGTGGTAGCCAGAGTAAAGAAATAATCACATAGTTGTTTAGTGGCATACAACATACAACATACAACAGTAAGAATGACATTGAAGCCACATTGAACACTGTGAATGTCACCCACAAACACAATATTGATTTGAAAAATCCAGACACAAAATGGAAAAGTTTATATCATTCCATTTATGCTAAGTTTAATAACTTCAGAATTAGTCTCCTACAATGGTTACTATTAATAATTGGAAGGAGATAGCGACTGGAACTAGTAAAATGGCATGTAGTTACTGCAATAAAGGAGTAACTATAGTTGGTAAAGCTTCTGGGAGAGTCAAATCAACAGAAAAATGTAGGTAGATTTTTCTGTCTCCCCTGCCAGCTCCCTTAATCACAACATGGAGACTTATTATTAATTATAAAAGCTCAGCTGATAGTTTAGGCTTGTTATTAACTAGCTCTTACAACTTAAATTAACCCATTTTTTAAAAATCAATCTACATTTGTCTCCTGGCTTTATTATCTTTCGTCTGCACTGCCCAAGCTGCTTCCTTTCCATCTGGCTGGTGACTCCCCACTTTGTCTTCCCAGTGTCATGTGTGCCTGAAAATCCTGCCTAGCTATTGGCTGTTTGGCTTTTTATTAAACCAATCAGAACAACACATCTTCACAGTGTACAGAAAGATTATTCCACAACAGAAAAGCTCTTTACAGTGAGTCTGGGATAGAATAAGAACAATTTAAGAGTATGTCTGCCGATAACTTAAACAGGTGAGTTCAAAGACCAAAGGTGGCTTTTCAGGGGCGGACATTCCTAGAGTAGAGAGTGATTTCTTTCTGTTAGCGTGAAAGAAAAACCCAACCACCCATTACTTTTATTCTAATCCTTTGATTAGTAATTTTGTCCCATCTCCTGGGTACATTTAATCTATCATGGTGAAACATTCAGAGTGAATTATCCATGCAAGTTACTCTTGTACTTGAAGCCATATTTAGTGATTGGTGAATAATCATGCAGACAAGCATATCTTGGTCCCTAAGAGGTTAATCAAGTATGGTGGATGCATTTGAATTTCTGAACTTATGTATTAAAAAAAAATCTGTCTTTAGCTACTCTGTTAGGACTCTCTCTACTTGCTAAGAACCAACATCAGAATATATGCTTTAACCCTTGCCCCCAAAGCCAAACCCAAACAGACAAAAGAGGAGAATGGGGAGGTGTGTTGTGAAGAGTAGTCTCATGGAATGCTGGGGCAAGAGCATAGCTCAGGTCTGGAAAAGGGCTAAAAGAAGCTCCTGTGCTTTACTAGTACATTTATCTAAGACTTTCATTCCTAGCTCACAAGACACTGAGAGGCTATAATACCATGCTTAGACCTGAGCAAGCAGGCTCTTAGGTTGGCCTGACCCCAGCTGTGCTTTGGAAAATCTTTCCTTGTAGAGATCACAGTCTCTTGTGTCTTGGGCCGCTCT